ATATATATATATATATATATATATATATCATTTTTAATTATTTAACTATTAAAATTATTATACAGCCACAGGACTTAGCATAATGATCATCGTAAACATTGGCTGCAAGCTAAGACGTTCCGTTTCGGCTTATTCAGGTATATAAACTCGCACCTAATAACGTCGCGAGTGGAACGACCTATGTGCTCATAAGAGGGATATACAATAAGTTTCATCAATTAGTCGTTATATGTACATACTGGCATACATACATACAAACAAACACATACATACGTACATACGCGAATAATCAGCTATAAATCGGTCGCAAATCGGGTGCTTATGGGTGAACGTGTGTCTCTATGCTACAGCGAAAATTTCGAAAAAGGAACGATCGTTACGCTCGAGGCCCAATTGCGATGAATCGAGCAGAGCAGCATTTAGGAGCCTTCGGTTCGCGCCTATTTGTTCTCGTCGTTCCATTTCGGTAATAACGTGTCGCATATCCTCGCGTTAGAGTTCGGCAAAGTATTCGGAGCGTATCTAGCGTGCTCGAAATCTGTGCAGACGTGAAATGGCATGGTTTCTTTCTTTCTTTCTTTCTTTCTTTTTGCGAGAACAACGCCAGCCAAACTTGGAAGCATCATCGTCGTCAATCTATACTATATATGCAAAATAAATAAATGTCAGTCGACGCGCGAATCCGAAATCATCAAGTAAATTTTCAAATGTGCACGTAGTTTTATTCCTTTTCGAGAATTTATGCAATACTGTCAGGATTTATTTTCATTTTTTTTTTCATTTTTAAATATTTCAGGTATTGCAATACTGGGTCGAATGGAAAATGCGCAATGAGGGAAAAATTATGACAAAATAATAAAAGAATTACAAACGCAGCAACGTATCAAAAAAATTCAGTTATAGCATTTTCGGTGCTCGCCGCATTATACCGGATTGGTGCATACTGAATGGTGATATACATGAAATTAAAATGTAAAAATACATAAACACTCCAAAATGTTTATATTATATAAATCAAGTAAGTTAACAATAAATTTGCCATATTATTTAGCTGAATAAATAATTTCATGAATTTGAATTAATAATTTCAAAGAAATAATATTATGCTATTATATTTCATGTGTAGCGGTTTTTAGTGTGCATTGGCTCGGTGTAGTGCAGCGAACCGAAAACATTATTAGTTCCTTTAAATATCGAGATATTTATTCATTTCTAAAAACAAGTCGCGAATAAAAGTAAATTAAGAGTAATACAAAAAAAAACGCATTTTGTTTCATATTCGTGTTGTTTTACAGCTCAATTTTATGCCTCATTGCACATCTCTCAACGTTTATACAAATATTTTCAATAATGGATTAAAAATAATGAAATACATAAAATTTTCATGTATGTAATAGCATAATTAACTTCGGTAAAGCTCAAATTCGGATTAGTCTAGAAAATTTGTCTAAAAATAAATGGCGAATACTGGATAAAATGGAATATTGAGCTTCATTGAAATCCGTCCCTCCATAATGATAGTAGCTTCTTTTTCTTTTCTAATGATCTTATTGCTATCTCAGTTTTAGGCTAAAGTAATAAAATATTCGGAATTCATTCGACTTATCTGAGCATCGATTTTTTTTACAAATTCATACACATATAGCTAATATAATGAAACGCACTTAAATTTTAAGATTGGCTATCGTTAATTCAGCGCAAAATCTTAAAAAAAATAGCACACGCAAACGTTTGTTAATCAAACGTTAGATTAAATATTAATTTCATTACTCGAAAAAAGAGACAAAAAGAAAGATATATAGGGATATACTGCAAAAAAGGACGAAAAAAAAGGAAGAGAGGTAGAAGAGTTAAAGAATAGCAAAGGCGATGACTGTACAAACTGCATATCATGTACATATCAGAATTGCCAACAAGTTTCATCCACCTCTGGAAGAATTAATTACTAAACTATATCCCGTAACAACCCCATTATCACGTCAACGTTATTTCATAAGCATTTAAATCTCGACCACGAACGGTCGGAGCTTCTAGTCTCGCGGCTGCCGTCATTTTTAAACGATTCAAAACTTCTTCGCGCACTGCATGTGTATGTGACGAAAGTGTCACATCGTAATCGAATCTATCTATATAACAAACTAAAATATGTTTGGACATCGCGACCAATCACCTCTGCTTTTATAATCCCAATATTCGCCATTATAAATGTAACAACGGCTATCCGTGTATGGATCCTGCTTCTTCTTAAACCACAATGGTTCGTACGCCTCGAAAGGTAACCCTGCAAAAAAATACAAGTTAACAATATACAGTTTAACATGATCGAAAGTTCATAATTCTCACGATATAAAAGGTATAAACTTATACCTTGCGCGGCGGCCTTTTCGGCCTCATGTTCACGTGCCCGCCTAGCAGCTCTTTGCTTTTCCTCTAAACGCAATTTTTCTGCGTTAGCTTCATCCCATCGTCCATCTTCCATTAACCGCTGATCAGGTCTCAATCGAGAATCCGTTGGAGCTACACCCTCCTCTGGTTCATTCAACTGACACGCTAATTCCGTGAATGAATAATATTTCTCACAGTCTTCACTGTAAAGTTACAGTAAAATTACATTAAAATATTTCTGTATATTTAAAATATTACCGAAAGATTTATAAAAATCATCTTTTCAATTCATTTTTGTTTTGAGGTATCTATTTCACGGTAACTATTATTATATATTATATAATATTATTATATATCATTACTATATTAATTAATATTATTAAGAAATATACATTATATAAAATTATATTTTATTATTATGACTTTAACGCAGCTATGCTTAAATTCTTTACAAATAAAGAAAAGAGAATCAAATTAAATTTTTACACGCATATTATTGTTACATACTTACGGAGGCATACGTCGTTTCCAAGCTAATATGTAAGGGCCCGTCTTGTACACTGGGTTATCGGGTGTGCCAGATGTGCTGATCACTGGCGCAATTTCTATCTTCGAATCCCATGTACCCTGTACTACCCACTTGACCTCTTTGTTGGAATTCATGACTACACCCTTTACCTTCCGCTGGCTGTCTCGCGAGAAATACGAATAAGGTATATACTTCAAATGGCACTTGATACCCTCTTTATGATTTACGATATCCATGTCACCACTCTGATCGACCCACAACTTGCCGACTATAATATTATGTACTGTAGTAGTAACTTTACGCCATGTATAATGTTGCTGACCACTGTTGAATTCTAGATGAGCAGTGCCCAAAGGAATTACCTAATTGTACAAAATTTAATTCTTAGGAACATATAGAAAGTGCAACAGTTGCGCGCAATATTATGTAATACATTTTTCTATTTACACATTTCTTAAATGTCACACAAATTCATCGTCATTTTTTTATGTGTATCCAAATTTATACATTTAGAGGCCATAAAAAAATGTTATGCTTAGAATCTCCACACTTACAACAAAAGTGAGATGTTCTGCAATGAATAAATAGAACATCGTACCTGTAGATATTTTCCGCGAAATTTAGATGCCATTGTAAACTCTTGCCAACACCGCCATTTCTTTCCCTCACAATGTTGAGCTAGCATAGGCGGATGGTGAGATACTTGCTCTGAAATCGCGCGCCATCCCAGATCGTCCGTGCGATCACATTCATAAGTTTCACCTAAAAGAGGATTGAAAGGCTTTCCCGTTCTAGCAGAGGTTGTAGCATAACTGGACACAGTAAACGCGGCTACAAATGCCATCTGCTCGTAACTATCCGAACATTCTGCAGCCCTATGTAAAAAAGAATATTAATATAATTTCTTCCTCTCATAAAAATAAGTTGACCTACCTATCAAGAATATCAGCATATTCGTAGTCTTCCGTCAGCCGTTGAAGCATGCTAAGCGGTTCCGAGAAATTGACCGGCATGGGAATTTTCGACAGGTCCTTGCCAATGCAATTTTTCATGATACTCCATAGGTTCAAGGGATAATTTGGTTTATCAGGTACCCTAGTCCTTCGCTTCCGTTTGGTAGTCATCCCGGTGCTGCTGCTGCCATTGTTGGATCGCCAAGTTGTCTGTTATATGCAGAAACAAATCTACATCCTGTTTTCGATCCCTCATTTTAGGAGGTAGCGAAAAAACAGAACTTGCTTACATTGTCCAGGTCGTCTATGATCGTGACGGGTGAGGAAGTCTGCGCCGCTGTAGAATCGGTCACAATAAGAAACGACTCGGCACCCGTGGAATCAGAGACAGGCAGAGGCGTCGGATCTCCCTCTGAACTGGAGCCATCGTCGCTACCCTGGGAATCGTTACGGTCTCTCGTGTGGGAAATCGAATTGCTCGTGGCGATGGGTATGGTCAGTGTGAAAGTGTCCGATTCCTGGGCGTCATAAAATTCGGCGTTATCCTCCTCATCCTCCGACGGGGACGTTGTAACTGCGGGATCTGCAAAGTCAAAGTTTCCCATTCGATGGACGAGCCGTAGAATGGAAGTTCGAAGCTCCCACTCCGGAAATAGGTGAGGAGGATGGGGCACGTGAACACGAGATGATCGCACACAGGTTGCACAAAGGTCTGTCTACTAATCGCGTCGAAGGTGTCAGATAAGCGTCAAGATAAGGGACAATGACGTCGGTCTCTGCCGTGCGGCGACACGACGCGACGCGTCGACGGAATCGGGAGCGCCGTTGAAAGACGAACGGTGCCCCAGGGGGGGAAGAACCGCGTGCGAGTTACAGAGTCACGCCAAGTCGCCCGTGTGGTCGCGAGATCGTAATCGCGTAATAAAGAATCGATATGACGCCCCCCGCGAGCCCCGCGCGAGACCCGAACCACCGCGTGTGGTCCGGCCGTGGGTTTCGCGCTCATTTCGCGCGCTCGGCCCCGCTGCTCTCGATGCCCCCTCCCCCCTCCCCCCGCGTTCCCGCGTTTCCCTCGTCGAATCGAACGTGCCGCCGTGCGTCACGAAGGGACGTCCCGCGACGCGCACGCACTAGCGCATCCGCTCCGTTTCGGCCGCGCCGCCTGGTTGTGTGCACCCTCGCGACTTCCCTCTTTCTTCTCTGGGGGGGGAGGGGGGAGGGGAGAGGAGGGAGCGCACCTACGAGTACAAAAGGTGTAATACGCGAACAGATAAAGGGAGAGTGCGCGCGCGCGCGGAGATTGGAGCAGCGGAGGCGAGGGGGAGATGGGGACGTCGCATGGGACGTCAACAGACACGATTCAACACGCACGCACGCACACTACCGTGACCGTCGGATCCCATTGTGATCTCCGTTCGTCTCTCAACTAAGGTATTCCGGGAGAATTTCGCGATTCTCATCGCACGACTCGGAAAGAGACGGAGATTGTAAAATCGCGCTCGTCGCACCTTCCTCGGGTGATCGTCGTCGTTTCGACACCTCGCCGGTACAAGCAAAGAACGATTACAGTTCCGTTCGCAGTTTGGGGTCCGTGTTATTGAGAGGAGTGTTATGGAGAGCGGAAGGGGACGAATATGTCGATTCGAGGAGCGCGAATCCCCGCCGATCGAGCGTCGAACTTGGAGGAGACGGAAACACACCCGACTATGTCATATGCGGACTTATATACACAAGTTATTACGTTACCATATATATATATATATA